CCCATACCTCTATTTCAAACTGGAAGCAGGACTTGGTAATGTGTAAGAGTCTCCTGCATGGTTCTGGCATTGAAAGCGTGAAGGGGTCATAGAGAGCAGCTGAGGCTTGGCACTCTGAGAGGCCAGGAAAGGCCATAGGTGAAAGTGCAGCTTCAGTTGCAGTGAAGACCCAGGACTGGAGGGGTCATGGAGAGAATCTGAGGCTTTGCACCCCAAGAACCAAGAAGAGGCCATTGGTGAAGGGGTAGCCTCAGTTTCAGTGGCGACCCCAGCTTTTTGGAGATGCCAGGACCATGGGACAACCACCAAGGACAGCAGTAAATGTGGAATAGAGCTGGCCTGGGTCTGCGAGACGAGCTGTGTGTGCTGTGGATGGCAGAGTCAGAGCAGTGGAGCTGCCAGAACCCTTTGGAGCCAGAAGATCGTGAGTGAATCCCAGCTGTCCATCCTTGAGCTACTTTGCTGGACTTTGGTTTTGCTTAGGTGTGCCCGATTCTTCCCTTTGAAATAAGACAGTACTTGTTTTGGATTTTACAGAAGCCCACCCACAGTTGAGACTTTTAAAAGAGACTATGGACTTTTAAGTGTTTGGATTTTTTTAAGGACTGTGGGGTTTTTAAGGTCGTACTGTCTTATGTTGTGATATTAATGTTAACATCATAGTTTGGGGACAAGAATTGGAAAGCTTATGGTTTAATAGTGATGTGTTAGTGTGTCAAGTTGACAAGGGGTCAATTGTGCTGGATAGCTTTAGTGTCAACTTGACACACCTGGGCTGAGGGATCTCAATCGGGGAACTGCCTCTATTGGACTGGCCTGTGGCTATGTCTGAAGGGCCTTAACATAAATGACAGAATGCATGAAATCCAGTGGTGGGGGCCTATTGGAGGGTGCTGATGGGAAAGGGGCTATAAAGAGGACTAAGATGCTGTGTATGAAATGCACAAAAATTCAATAAATTTTAAAAATATTTTGTGTTATTATTGTATATGATGTTTGTGAATGGGATGAGCTCGTGTCACTGTGCAAGTGTAGAGGTCAGAGAACAACTTTAGGAAACAGGTTCCTTCCTTCTGCAATGGGTACTGGGATCCAACACCAATCAGATTGGCAGGCTTGTGCTGCAAATGCTTAGTGGCTGAGCCATCTAGAGGCCCCAGCTGCCAACTTTAGATGTGCATTTTTTAGTTAAAACACAGTTAAGTTAGGGGCTGATCCCAGCAGTTAAGAGGACTCACTACTCTTGCAGAGGACCTGGGTTCAATTCCCAGGACCCACATGGGGGCTAACAACCATCTGTAACTCCAGTTCCAGGGGATCTGATGTCTTCTTCTGAAGCTCCATGGGACCTGCAGGACACTGGTGCACCTACCTACATGCAGGCAAAACACAAATAAACATAAAAATAATAAAACAAAACAAAAAGACCCACAGTTAACTGAGTACCTAGTATTGCCAGATATTCTTTTGGGCCCTGAAGAACACAGCAGTGAACAAAACTCATAGAATTTACATTCTAGTGAGGGAAGACAGACAACATAATTAGTTATATGGGGGAATTGATGATACGAAAAATGAAGGAGGGTGAAAAGGTACAGAGCATGTGTGGTGAAAAGGGTGCTTGAACGTACATGCTTGGTTAAGTCCTATGGCAGCTTATTTATTACTCTTGGGGGGAGTATTTTTTTGAGACAGGGTCTCCATGTAGCTCCAGCTGGTTGGTACTTGCTACGTAGACCAGGCTGGGCTTGAACTCAGAGATCCGCCTGCCTCTGCCTCCCAAGTGCTGGGACTAAAGGCATGCGCCACCGCTCCCAGCTATTTACCACTCTTATTAATAGCCAAATGTTTTTGCACTACCTCCAAAAACCTTGAGCCAGTCGAAGGCAGACGTGTTCTTCACTCATCTTAAAAGCTTTCCTTTTTATTTTTAATTGTGTGTATGAGTGGCGTGCTGGTATGTGCCTGTGAGTAAAGTTCAGGGGCCAAGAGGGCATTTGACCGGAGTTTTTGACTGGAGTTGGAGTTACAGATGATTCTGAGTGTGGGATTCGAACTCCAGTCCAATGCGAAGACCAAGTGCACGCTCTCAACCGCTGAGCTGTTTGTGGTCCAAACAGCATTGCGTCCAGGAGAGCAAAGAGGTGGTGAAATAACTGGCAGTCTACCCCAAGCCGCTTTCCCGGTAGGGGTGGCTTTGGGCCCAGGTGGAGGATGTGGCATCTGAAGCGCTGGGAGCCTCCCTACAGATTCTCAAAGCCTCCTAAGGGAGGTTTCCAAAGCATCACCTGGGAAGCGACTGCACCTAAGGCCTCCATGTACAGACCCAGCGCCCAGCAAGTACACCGATTAAAGTAGTGGATATCAGAGCCAAGGGCGGAGAGAACCTGGCACAGCCGCGGCCCCTGTAGCCTCCTGGCGCTGGGAGCTTGGGGACTCTGCCAGCCTCCAGCTCCCGCAGCCACAACTTCCGGCCTCGAAAGCCCCCGGCTCCGTGGCTCGCCTGGGTCCTTGCGGCGGAAAGGTGGCCGCAGCGGCCGCCTGCCCTAATAGAACGTCAGCCAGAGGTTGTCGCGTTCTTAGGCCTGCGACGAGGGCGCTGAGGGGTGCTAGCCTTCGGCCACGGGTCGCGCGGGGCGGGCGGGACTGCACTGGCAGGGGTGACAGGCGCAGGGCGGGCAGGCGCGGGGCGGGCGCGCGAGGGACAGGCGCAGCAGCGGAAGTGGTGGTCAGTCCCGGCCCTCCGTCCAGGAAGTGGCGGCGGGTCTCCCAGCGGGACTCAGGCTCGGGACCGGCGCGATGCCTCTCTTCACCGCCAACCCGTTCGAGCAAGACGTGGGTGAGTGCGGTGCCTAGCGCTGGCAGCTGGTGGTCCAGGGGAAAGTGAACGGCGGCCCTGGTGCCCGGGAAGCCTGGCTGAGTGGAAAGGGGCGGTGCCGCCCTCGACGGCTGGGGGCATCCTGGGCCCGTCGCTGGCCGGGCAATCCTGCCTGCCTGAGGTTGGGGACCCTGGAAGTCACCCAGGTGCAGGCGTGGGCAAGAGCCCGGGCTCACTGGAGACCTGAGTTGCGGAGTTGTTGATACAAACTTCCTGCTTCCTTCAGAGCTGGTTAACACCCTGCCCCTTCGAAGATGATGCAGCAGTGGACTCTTGTCCTGCCGAGGTTTAGTTACTAAAGATCTCGACTTACCCGGTCGAACTGGAAGAACTTAACTCGCATCACTAACGTACGCAGACATCCAAGCCGGGATAAACAGCTTCAGGATTTGACAGATTTTGAAAGTTCTCCTTAGAGAATGAAAAGGAAAATCCCAGTATCCCTTAAAGTAGCCCAGAACAGTTGATATTTGTTGGGATCAAATGTTGGTCTTATAGCACAGGTCTTTCAGCAACTATAGAATGAAAAAACCTTGGACAGTGTAGAACTTAAGCTAGAATCACAGTAAAGCAAACAGGCTAAGAAAGCATTTTGTAGCAGTAGTTAATAGATTTCTAGGAAGATTTTTTTTAGGGCTTCGAAATTCTCGGTCAAAGGTTATGTAATTTTAGTTGTGAGCCACCTGTTGAGTAAAAATTTCTTAGTTAAGAAAAGACTAGAAAGTATCTCATTTTGGTATGCTACATAATCTCAAAGTCATGTTCAGGTCAAAATGATAAGTATTGTAATTATATAGGAAGCATGTTGCACTCAGTCGCTGTTTTTAGAGTTGTTCCTTTGTTATATTACCTCCATGAGACATGGGTTTCTACATTCTTGTTGAATTGTTTTGTTTTTGAGACAGGGTCTAAACTGTATAGCCCCAGGCTGGCCCCAAACTTTAATACCTCTGTCTTAGCTTCTAGAATTCTGGGATTCCAGAATAAGACAGATCATTATTGAAGCTGTATATTCTTCAGGAAACCTTTCCTGGAAGCCCATTGTTTTCTGATTGAAAACTCCTGGTAGCCATGACTGAGTTGCTCTGCCCAGTTGGCTTTTTTAAATCTTTCCCTCAGCAGCTCCTGAGGTCTGCAAAAGAGTTAGATTATAGTAAAAGAGGCCATTCTGTTCAGATAGAAAACTATACATTTATAAAACTGTATAGTTTGGTTGACCATGTCAACCAAAACTTGGAAGTGCTGTTCATTAGTTCACATATGATTGAATTTATTATCCAAAAAAGCAAGGTAAGGGTGAAGAAAGTAAGTTTGGTTGAAGCCTACCTGTAACTTGTAGACAAGTGAATGCAACTAGAAAAAATGGAATGAAATACCAAGGACCCAAACTGGCCTTAAGTTTGTGTCACCAGAGAAAAATTATATGTAGTATTTTTCAAATCTTAAAGCCCTTTTATTTAAGAGTCATTAATTGACTTGAGCATTTGCAGGATTGCTCCTTTACAGTGGCCTATCTTTTTCACCTATTCTTCTGCATTGTTTTTAATTAATTTTTGTGTGATGTCATACTTGTGTTCATTCTTTATTCAACATATATGCTTTGGATGATTCCTATATGCCAGGCATGTATTAAGTTCCAGGGAAACAATGAATAAATATATTGAATTTTTGCCCATAAGAAACCCAGTCTAAGGTAGGAACATAAATAGATAGTTGTGAATAATGTAGCGTGGTAAGTACAGGGATGCATAGATGCTTTGTTTAAAAGTCATCATCCCTGAAGATAAGACAAGCACCTTGGTAGAGGAGTTCCCTGTAAGGATCAACATTATTCTCTCCCTCCCTCACTTTTCTGACAGCATTTCTTCTAGGAGGAAGTAGCTACCTCTTGCGGTTTGTGTGATATGGTCACCTATGAAAGTAGTTTCAAGGGGGCAGTAAACATGAGGGTGAAACCATGGCAGGAAGATTTAGAGGCTAGTGTTAAAAGGGAAGGTGGTGTTTGCTTATATTTTGTCCAGTGTTTCCAGTGTCACTACGTTGGTTCTCAGCTCTATGCCCCAGTTCCTGTGCTTGTTGACATAATTTTTCCCCTTTTTATTTTTTATCTGACAGTTTCTGCTCTGGACCATTTATCATTCATTGCTAAATGTTCACAATATTTTGTTTGTTTGTTTGTTTTTGATACAGGGTCTCCCTATACAGTCCTGACTGGCCTTGAACTTAGAGAGATCCTGTGCCTCCCACATGCTAGGATTAAAGGCCTGTGCCACCATGCCCAGCATGTGCCAAGACACATGTGGAGGTCAGAGGATAATTTCGAGGAATCAGTTCCTTCCTTGCACCTTGTCGAGGCAGGATGTCCTGCTATCTGGCCAGTGAGCATCTTAGTTTTGGGGCCATTTTCCTGTCTGTGTAGGAGTCCAGGGATTGCAGATGAGGCTTTTACATGGTTTCCAGGAATTGAACATGGGTCAATCTGCTTTTACCCATTGGACCATGAGCCATCATGCTCATCATGCTGGCCTCTATTTTATTTTGTTTTTGAGATGAAGTCATACTATATCTAGCCTGGAACTCTCCGTGTAGCCCCAGGTATCCTTGAACTTGAGATCATCCTCAGCCTCCTGAATGCTGGGATTTTAGGTATCATCACTCCCAGCTATAAATGTTTGTTCTTTTCAATAATCTTACCATCTCCTTTCTTAAAGATATAATTGTTTCTATCCCTCTGGGTTCTAATTCTACTCGAGAAAAAAATGTTTGGGAAGGGCAGATTGATGTAGGAACTTTAACTGTTTTTTTAAAAATATTTATTTTTATTTATATGTATGAATGTATTGTTTGCATGTGTGTAAGCGCACCCATGTTGTGCAATGCCCGCAGAAGTCAGAAGATGGTGTCAGATCCCTTGGAACTGGAGTTATGAATGGTTGTTAGGACCATGTGGGTGCTGGGAATTGAACCTGGTTCCTCTGCAAGAGCAGCCAGTGCCCGTAACCACTGAGCCATCTCTCCAGCCCCAGGAACTTTAATCTTAAGAGGAACGTTGCCCAAGCAAAATGTGTATAATGTAGTGTTTTTTGCTTTTGTTATATTATAAGGACTTGAAAATGATGCAACTTTTTACTCCAGTGAAAATTTATAAGAAACTTTACATAAAAGTAGATAGAAAAAACATTGTAATAATATAAATTTAATTTTTACATTCAGATTTGTAATATTTATATAATTTAGTCCTTGAACAGAATGTTTTTATAATCTTGGTAAGAAAAATTTAACTTTGATTATGGATGAAAATGGCATTTAGTTAGGTGATTTTTTTTTTTTATACCTTCATTTTCTTTATATGGTTCCAGAAATGCTAGTACTTTCAGATAGTTAGACATTTTAATTAATACACTTTCAAAAATTTTAAAATGTGAAACATTTTGAGCATAATGTAGAAGACACAACATGGACTTCTGTTCCTACTGGCCAACTCTGTCTGACTCCCTGGATTCTTTAAGAGAATATTCAAGATACAGTGGAATGTATTTTTATCAACTTTCTCTTCCATTTTTTTTCCTTCATAGAGTTAAATCTCCAAAAAGAAAGAGGTTCTGTGTTTTTAAATGTGTATATTACACATACAAATATACTGTTTTTTTTTTTTTTTTGCAACTTTTCAAATTTCATAAAAGTGGTATCCTTTTTCTGCAGTTTTTGTCATTAGCATTTTTTGTGGGAGTTGCTCATATTGATGTGTTGGCTATATGATAGTCTACTGTGTGAACATACCACATTTTTATACTGTCCTCTACTTATGGACATGCTTTTAGTTTGAATCTTAAGGCAAGAGGCCAAAAGGAAGATTTTGTACAAGTGAAAATACATGGTAATGTTAGATCAGTTTTGTGTGATGTGTCTAGTAACACAGACATGGTGATGCATACCTGTAATATCAGCATATGGGAGGCAGAGGTAGGAGGGTCACTGTAAGTTTGATGCCTACCTGGTCTATATAGTAGGTTTCAGGACAGCTGAGGCTACATGATACCCTGTCTCGGGGAGGGGGTTGGATGACAGGCCCGTACAGGTGTTCTTTTTATCATTATGGATAGACTTTGCAGATAGGTGTAGAATATCAAGCTGGCTAATAGATAACCAATAACTCTAACCATTGATCACCCACACATTGATCAAAGTACTTACAGATATTATGATTTCTTTTATCTCCTGTTAGTTTTTTGTTCCTTCCTTCTTTTCCCCTTTTTCTTTCTGCTGTGGATCTAATGCAGATCTGGCATGGAAAGCCAGCATTCTACCTCTATGCTCCATTACCTGCTCTCCCCAAACCTGACATGCTCCATTCTCCTTTGAGCTTCAGTTTTTACTTTTTTTCCTTTAGAGAGATGGAGTCTCTCTCTAACTCCTGAGCTCAAGGGAACCTCCCATTTCATCCTCCCAGGTAGCTAGGACTACAAGAAGGAACCACTACTTTTTTTTTTTTTTTAAATATTGCCAACTTTAACAATATTTTTTAAAAAATTTAAATAACTACATGATTAAAAGAAGTATTTCATTACAGCTTTAACATATTCAGTAACACACTCCAGAGCAAGAGTACATCTCTTTCACAAGTGGCTGTAAGTTTCTAGGTTCACAATTGAATTAATACAGTTATACAATATTGAATTCAGTATAAGCCCTGTAAGACATAAAATTGAGTTTTTAACCTTTAAAAAAGATCTCCATTTCATTTTAGAATGTATTGTTCTTTGCAGAAAGACTCATTGTTTTTGCTACTAACACTTCTTCCTCAAATATAATACATTTTAAAAAATTTGTTGATTTGTGTGTGTGTGTGTGTGTGTGTGTGTGTGTGTGTGTGTGTATCACACAGAACATCCCAAACCATCTTATTCACCTATATAACCACTTCCCAGATGGCACCCTCCCATAGCATCCCTCCCCCCACT